CTTTCTGTATAATACACACACGAAGAGGATGTCGTGCATCATTGACTTGCCAGCCCAAATGTTTTTATTTTAAAAGAGGATCATTTTCAAGTGCTGGTTAGTGTTCGCTAGATGTTGGAAGCAACAACATCTTCATATGTGTACACACTCATCCAGTGTCCCAGCCTGCATGGATAAAACTCTGGGAGAAAATTTACAATTGCATTTTGTAGATTGTACTACCAAGTATGTTAGCTATCATACAACTCGGCGTATGTGAACTCGTGAAGAAGCATTTCTGTTGGAAACTCTCTGCCTTTATCCACTTGGTCTGTGCTTGTTTGTCAGTTTATAGCTAGAAGAGTACCACTGAAACCTGGTAGCACAGAATTTCTAACTTTGTGCTTCAGGTAATCTAAAGCGATACTGAAAACCACAGAGCCAAATACATTTTTTAATGTCTATCTTCTCTCAGGGCTCCAAAAGTAGTAGAAGAAAAAAAAAAATAAGTCAGATAAATGCATCTAAGTCAACTTTGTTAGCCTTTGAGATGCTTTTGTTGGAGTAAAGACCTGAGGCTCTTAACTAACTATGGATAAAAGGGTAATCCAGAAAACACCAAAAAGTACTTACAACACTTTAGACGATAATCTTATCATTTTCTTTGAAAAGCATATTCGGGCAGGTTCTCTCCACCCTTCTAAAAAAAAACAACAAAAAACCCCAACAATATAAACCAGCACCAGTTTGCTCAGCCAAGAGAGCTCATAAAGGTGAAGAGCACTTCTCATGGGATACAAAATGTGAATTATACTGGAAAATAAACTCTAGATTGTATTTAGCATTCCTAGACCATCTACCAGCAACAGATGTTCTGTCCTGAAAGTGATACAATTTTGACAGCAGTACAGCAACTCCTTAAATAAATTACTGAGTTACTGTCAAAATAGTACAGATAATTCTTATTTTTTTTAGGAAAAGCAATTTTACTCTTTCACCAATTAATTATGAGCTTACATTCATTTTCTTTCAACTGTGAAATCAATGCTAAATCTGATTTGTAGTTGGGCTTTGGTCTTTTCTGTAGAGGTCCTAGATTGTTGCTGTTGCTACATTAACTGTTCTTGCAGTTAGACTTTATTTTTTGGTGAGAGTGTTGAATGAAATCCTGAATCCATTACAGTCAATAAATCTGCATCTAACTTCAGTAAAGCAGGAATTTTATCCCTGGAATCATTCCCATGCTGCCCCTTGCTGACAGGAAGGTGACAGGTCAGGGAGAAGAAACCTTGTGAGGTGGCAGGATCTCATTGGGTGTTTTACGGTTTCTGTGATCTTAATCCCTTCAACCTCAACTCTACACAACAGGTTTTGGAGGTAGAATTGCAAGGGCAAAGAAGAGGAGGTGAAAAGTACCTATTGACCATGGGCTTTGAATGTCTCCAGGGAAGGAGACTCCACAACCTCTCTGAGCATCCTGTTCCAGTGCTCTGTCACCCTCACAGTAAAAAGGTTTTCCTCATGTTTATGTGGAACCTCCTGTGCTCCAGCTTGCACCCACTGCCTGTTGTCCTATTACTGGGCATCACTGAGAAGAGCCTAGTTCATCCTCCTGACACTCGCCCTTAATGTATTTGGAAACATTGAAGAGGTCGCCCCTCAGTCTCCTCCAAGCTCAAGAGACCCAGCTCCCTCAGCCTTTCCTCTTAAGGGAGATGTTCCACTTCCTTAATCATCTTTGTGGCTCTGCGCTGGACTCTTTCAAGGAGTTCCCTGTCCTCCCCGCTGTGTAACCTACTCTAGGGAATCCTACTCTGGCAGGGGGGTTGGACTAGATGATCTCCAGAGGTCCCTTCCAATGCCTAGCATTCCGTGATTCTGTGACCTTACTCCTGGGGAAGGCTCTCAAAAGCTGTCTTCATTCCCTTGCTTGGGATCTTCCCATGATTTGGAATTAGTGGGGAACCCAGTGGGTTTCTGATGCAAAGGAATAAAATGCCTGGAGAGCAGTATATGCCAGAAAGCAACACAGGGAGGGATGAACACACTGAGAGAGACTTGATCTGACTAGAAAAATCAAGTTGTGGATTTTAACTGATAGGTCTGTATTATCTATATTATGAAAGTCATCACAGAGCATTTGGATGAGAATTTGGCCTTATCATGCTTTTATGTAGGGACAGTCTACTGCCATATTTTTTCAGATGTGAATCATATTTTATTTGTAGTGAAAAGCACTTGTCTTTCATTTAATATTTTTCTAAATATTGTTGTCAAAATCTAGTTTCATTCTCCAGGAAGAGCCTGGAGAACTTTCCCAGAAACAGTATTGGAGCATTTTTGCATGCCAATTATTGTTGCTTTCAGAACAGGGGCTGGGATGGGGTTAAAGAGGTTGCACAGTTTATTTCTTTGAGTTTGCTTCACAAAGGAAGGACAAATCAATGTATAAGCAGGTTTTATGTGGCTTATAAAGCAAACCTAAATTAGCCTACCTGTTGCAAACTTACTTCTGGAGTAATGTAGAAGCTGTCTACTTACTTGACCATTTCCTGATGGAAGTATCAGCGTTAAAGCTGCTGGCTTGAATTCTGGACCTAACCATATCCCCTGCAAATCCAGGTAAGTTAATGAAACTGCAGAAGGAAACAGATAAACTAAATAGGATTTCCCAACAGGCTTGAGTGCATGTCCTCATAGGGCCTTCATACAACTGTAACAGGTCAAGCAACTGAAGGAGAGGGATTAAAATTTTCTTTCAAATCTCCCTTGAAATTCTTCTTTCTCTGGAATACTAGCTGTACTTAAAGAGTTACATTGTATCTAACCTGTATCATCTAATTTCCTGAAAAATAGAGGGTTTATATCAAAATGGGTCATAAGTATACACAACCTTGCAACATGCACTTTTCAGATAGCCTGGAGCAAAATCTAAGATTTGGACACATCAAGCCAAATTCAGTGTCTGATTCTAAGCCATTTAAATACTGCAGAGCTTGGCCTATTATATTCATTTTTGGAACTCCTTGTAGCAGTTCTGAGCCCAGAAACTGTAAATAAAAGTTTGTTTTCATTCACACACATCACGGAAGTTGCAAGTTGCCTCAGGTAATTTTTTTATGAGCAGGTCCGACAGTGAGTAAAGGGAAATTAGGATGATATGGCCGATAGCTGAGGTGATTGAAGTGGCCAATTTGACAAGATTTTAAATTCAGCTGCTGAGAAATACATGGAGATGCACCTTATCTGTGGGATGCAAGTAGTGGACTCGATGATCTTGAAGGTCTTTTCCAACCAAGGAAATTCTGTCATGCAACAAACTGTGAAAAGCCTGGGAGACTGCAATTGCTCTCTGTGATCGAGCATTTAAGATGAGGCAGCGGGACAAAGCAAAGGCATATGACTTGCCTTGCATTTCCCTGAGATGGGAAATAAGTGACTCAGTTTGTTGCACTCCACTTCTTACCATATGATACCAACACATGCTGGTCAAAAATAGAGAATAGTCCCCACAAAACCTGTTTTCCATTCTGTGTTTCAGCTTTGCACAGATTGCAATACATGAGATTATACTGCTAGTTATTTTTTATCAGTAGGTGTGTTATCATCTATAACTTGGATGCAACTCTACACAGAAACTCTGTGTTGACTTCTTATTTACAGTGAAATCCCAGCTCCTGCCATGCAGAAAACCAGCATTGCACTGGAACTCTTTTCAGCAGTGCAAAGCATTCATGCTAGCTCTCCGCAGACAAGTCAATTTTTCTTAAACCTCTAAAGTTCTTCTGGTGCATCAGACATAACATACTAGAAAAAGTGGACAGTACTTTGAATGAGAACCCTAATTACTAACTCAAAGAAGGCAGATATGAATAAAAAGAAAATTACATGTGAAGTTCTGCATTGGTATTTTCCCAAGGAAACTCCACCATTCTACTGGGACATGGAAAAAGAGATGGTGCAACCTTCATTTTCCTGGCTAGCTTGTATAGTAACAGCCACAACCAAACCCAAGAAAATCAGAACAAGTAGGATACTCGAATGCCACTCATCTTATACTAGACCACAGATTAAGGAAACTCCAATGCCACTCATCTTATACTAGACCACAGATTACAGTTTGATCTAGAGAGTCTATAGACTGATCTAGCCTGAAATTCAGTTGACTGTACACGTTTGCAGCTAGGAACAGGTCTTCAGTGGCAAGCACAACAGCAAACAAGCATTGATTTCATATCTGGGGTTTCTAAGTTACTGTAACAGAATTTCCCAAATCGACAATTTCCTTCATCAAAACCTTAATAGAAAGTTAAGTTGCTCCCCCTAGGATATAGGACAAACTTTTTTTAGACTGAAGGACAGAATACATCATTACTGCTACAGTCCTATAATGCAGTTCTTTTTCAGAACTAATAGTGTTTTGTGAAAGAAACAAAGAATGAAAGACAGACTTGTTAACAGTTTTCTCTTTGGGATTATAGTAGCAACCAAGAAATACTACCTTTTGGTGAATATAAACCAGTCTTTTAAAAAACACAGCAGCCTTCTCCACTTTGTCCCATTCCCAGCAAATGTGTGCTGAGACAGCCTAAAACATGCTCAGAGTTACAGCAATACATTTATCTGCTTAGATGCTCATCAGTCACAAGAAGAGATGAAGATGGGAAGAGTACTGCCTCTTTCAGAATTCTTCTAGCATATGAAAAAAGACCTCTACACAATTAATTTGTACATTGCTGCATAAACATAATCTCTTTCCACTAGGTATAATGCACCTTTGGAACAAGCTGCACGTGACTAAAAATCCTGGGAACTTTGGGATCCATTTTGGCTGTTACACAAAGACCTGTGAACTGCACGCTCTCTTCTTGTGATCCCTCGATGGAGGAATCTAGATCCGTAATTCATTTCTTAGCTGGTTTCTTAAAAGTTCAGTGCTCCTGCCACAGGCCTTTCAGGAAGGTCCCTTATGTTTTTCATGCCAAACTTGCACATTGAAAACCTGGTGTTTCTCTTGTCAGTCATACAAATGGCGTCATCACTGCGGAGGAGTGACGCAGTCCCTGGATAGCTGCATAGGGACCCTGCTGAAAATAGTGGTGGTACCTAGGCATGTGGAAGGAAGGGAAAGTGGGGCCACTACCTTGCATGGAGCTGGCTATAGCAGAGGGTGTAAGAGGCATTCCCAGGCGGCTGTACGGAGGCAGAGATCCTTGGATTGGATGAGGAATGGGCGTAGCTATGGATGCAGTGCTGGTACCCAGGGCACTCAGAGACTGTGGATGCTGAAAGCCAGGAAAGCTGGTTGAAGAGGATACCCAGGAACTGAGGGACAGGTTATCAGATGTTGTAAAGGCTGACCCTGCAAGCAAAAAGAAAGAATGCTTGATGTTTGCACTGCAACACACAAAGCTGGTAAAACAGCAAGAAGGGAGAAAAAGGTCTTCCACAGCAGGGCTGATTTTAATGACAAGTTGTGATTGGAAAGACTTCCCAAATGCCTCTCTCTCCTTATATCTTTACCTTATTATTTGCCAGGTGCTATCCTCTATCACTTTATCTTAGACATTTCAATTTTAAGAAGCTAGTTGCAGTGGCTTGAACAGTAGAATCAGCTTTGCACATTGGACATTTCTGGCATGAAAGAAGAAACTTGTAATGCTGCCACTAAACACTGAAGCATCTACTCTGACATGGAATCTCTCTGCAGTACATCCCTGTTTTGAAGACGTGCTTGTAGCTTTTTACATCAGATCCTCAGCAGAAATGTTTGGGGTTTTTTTCCTCAAATTTCAGGCTGGCAAAAATGCAGATAAATATAATTTGCACTACCAAGTTTTCCTTATTTTTACCCCACTAAAACTTGTCACTACTACATCTTTTCAATCAACTTGTTTTTTTTCAAAATAAAGAACAGAAAATTCTAAAATGTCAAAACATTTGTTATTTTTCCAACAAGGCTCTCAGAAACAACTCTAAGGCTAAATCATAGTAAAAGATGCGTGGCTTTAAGTGAAGTGCATAAGAATATTAAAAACCTGCTCTCAGGACAATTACCTACTTTTGATCAAATTAAAGTGGTTTCTTTGGTATTTTTTTAATCTGAGAAGTTCCAAAAATTCTTGTTACAAATCTTCAACTCTTTAAAAACACTTTTTCTCTGAAGACTGGAAAGTCATTAAAGAAGGCAAAAATGGTTTATTTATATTAAAACTAATTACTTCTTTTATTTTGACAGTAAAATTTTTGGAAAACAATTAATAATTTGTTTGGATATTTATGCAGGGTCATTTTCCGGTGATGATGTTGCCCTTCTGCAGTTCCCCTGTGCATGTGGTCATCATCAGATATCTGATTTCTAGAAATGGGGAATACAGAAAATTCTTTAACTAAGATCTTAATTTTTATTCCTATTCAGACAAGAATTCAACTCATATCCCCTCTGTATTTTCTTTCTTGTCCAACAGTATCCATTAAGAAAATGTTTCCTACTTTAAGAAATAAATTTATTGGCAAGAATATTTTACTATAATTTCCAGCCAGTATTGCAAAACATTCTGAGACAACTAACTGAACAGCAAGTATTAGTTTCATAAATCTGATTCTAGAAGATAGGTTCATCCAAACTGTGAAAAGAAAAATATATGAAGACATCTAGCTCTCAAGTTAAACCTATTGGAATTATGTATACTAACCAATCGTAGCCAGATCCTCAAAACAAAACTATAAACAAACAACAGCAGAAAGAAAAAATGCAAATTGTTATTTAAAAGCATACCTCTCTTTAGGGATATATTCTCAAATCAGAAAGAGAGCTACTCTTGATTAATTCCCACTCTGCTTAATGAAACAAGTCAAATGGCCCAGTAACAGGGAAGAGAAATAGTGTTGATTCAGCAGTAGAAATGGACGTGAACCAAATCCTGGTTGTACTACCATTGAACCAAACCTGAACTGCTGGGAAGTTAGAATCCGGGGCCAAACTACAAGGATTCAACTATCCTCACCAACCAGAGCAAAACCTTTTACAAATCAAGGAATATCTGAGCATTATTGCACTACAGGGAGAACGGAACGTGAATCTGGATTTGCCTGGTAGGTTTACATTTGGCTCTGTTCCAGGTGGCTACTATGAA